TGAAGAAGCGAGCTCTAGACCAGCTGCGGCTGGTGAAGCCCAAGCATGCCGGGAGCCCTACAGCGGACCCCCCAGAGCAGCTGCTGCTGGAGCCCAGCTCAGGTGCGTGCCCAGGTGTGAAGGTGCAGCCTGGGCTGCCCTTGGAGTCCAGGAGTGTGCACCGTTGGCCTGGAAGGGCCAGTTGTGAGGGTTCCAGGGGGGCGAGGCCCACGCCTGGGGGAGGGTCTGAGAGACAAGGCTCCCCCTGCCGGGAGCTGGGCCGACAGGTTTGATGGAGCTGGCTAGTGAGGGTGCATGTGTCCTAGTGTGTTTGTGGGTCTGTGTGAGTGTGGGGCACACAGCAACATGGGCCTGTTCTTGTCTGGAAGACCGTGTGTAGCTGTACTTCTCACATGTGTGTGGTGGGAGGTACCATGAGGACCCCAGAGTGGGTTCTAGGAGGCAGTAGGGTGAGGCTTTGGGCCGGATCAGGGAGGAGGAAGTGGGGGGGCCTAGATGAGGAAGTAGCAATCCTGAGGGGCAAGGAGGAGAGGGTGGCAAGGGAAGAATTCCTGGAAGAGACATTGTTTGAACTGTGGCCTTCGAGGATGAGGAGTTTGTTCCTGGCGGAAGGCACAGCCTGTGCAAGTGGGTCTTGAGTGCTGGCTGTGTCATGCTTTGTGCTTGGTCCAGAGGACACAGGGGTCCCCCACTCCTCACCGCCTACTGGGGATGCGGGGAGGCAGATGCTCGTCGGCCAGATAATCCCACCCATGAACGTAATCGCAAAGTGCGACGCTTGTCGCGGAGGGGAGCTGGGTGCTGTGGCGCTCATGCTGGAGGCCCTGCGCGTCTGGGAGTCAGGGAAGCTGTGACCCGGGCTCTGAAGAGAGCGTGAGGGTTAACTGGGCCAGGAGGGGCCAGGGTGGGCCTGCGGCTTCCCCAGGGCGCAAGAAGGCCCCATGATTGGAGACAGCTGAAGGGCGGTCTGGGTGGCGGGGGTAGAGTCTGTGATGGGGCGCGTGGCTCTGGCAGGGCTGAGTAACCCACGTGGAGGATGTGGCCTCTTTGCTGAGAGAGTCATGGGAGTCACTGGCACCTCGGGAGCAGGCGAGTTACAGGATCTGACTTTAGTTTTACAACCTCTCTATGGCTGCTGAGTGGAGAATGGCCTGTAGGGGGTGAGAGCGAGGCAGAGGATCAGGGAGCAGTCTACAGCAATAGTCCCAGCGAGGGAAGGGGCAGCTCTGGTGTGCGTGCGTGCGTGCGTGCGTGCGTGCGTGTATGTGTGTGTGTGTGTGTGTGTGTGTGTAGCAGCAGCAGCACTTAAGAAGGGAGAAAAGGTGGGCGGCTTGAGAGGGGGCGATGGGATTTTGAGGCCGCCCTGGGAAGGAGGGGCTTGGGGCCTGTCCGCTGCTCATCTCTTCTGCATGCCGCCCCCACACAGAGCCGGAGCGGAGTCTCAAACCCTACAGCCTGGTGCAGCCGCTGCTGGTGCCCGCCCTGCGGCCTGTGGTGCTCTTGCCCGAGTGCCTGGCACCCCGGCTCATCCGCAACCTGTTAGACCTGCCCAATTCCCGGCTGGACTTCCAAGTGTGCCCAGCCGGTGAGTCTTTGAGCTGGGAGAGGGGAGGGTGGAGTGGTGTTTTGGGGCAGCCGGGTCCACTGGCCCTTCATTCCTGCCTCTCCCTGCCCTCCAGAAAGCCTATCTGGGGAGGAACAGTGCATACCCTCAGCGCCTGGGGCCCCCAAGGCTCAGTCTGCCACCCCTGGACTGGGCAGCAGGATCCGAGCCATCCAGGAGTCTGTTGGGAAGGTAGGTGCTGGGGTGGGGGCCGCCCTTCTGGGTCTAAGAGCCCGACTGGAGTGCAAGCCTGTGCTGTTCCCTTGCGGAGTGACTCTGGGCAAGTCCCCTGCTTTCTGTGGGTCCCGTTTCCTCACTGAATGGGGAGGCTGGGGCAGTTGACCTCTCACCCGTTCAGCTCCTTTTCCTCCTGGGAGTTGGCCCTGGCTGTGGGGAGTGGGGTTAGCTCCGTCCTACAGACGAGGAGGCTGAGGTCTAGAGGGGCAAAGTGACTTATTTCCCAGGTCTCCCATCTTCTCTGATGGTTCTTCCCTCACTGCCAAGGTCCCTTTGGATGGGGAAGCAGGACCTCTAGGGCCCAGTGTGTGTGTGTGTGTCGGGGGAACAAGGAGGTTAGTGTCTCTGGGCTGGGAGTAAAATGTAGTTTTGACCCCCGAGAAGAAACACTGCCTATTGGAGCTGGGTGTGCGGGGCGTGCGGGAACTGGTCCAGAATGAGATCTACCCTATCGTCATCCATGTGGAGGTGACCGAGAAGAATGTCCGGGAAGTCAGGTGAGGCAGGTGGGGAGATGGGCAGGACCCCAGATCTGTCCGTCTGTCTGTCTGTCTCTCCCCCCCTGTCCCCCACACCTCATCTCTTCTCCATCTCTTTCTCTGCCATCTGTCTCTTTGTCTTCCTCCACCTGTCCGTCCTCTCTCTGTGACGCTCCACATCCTTGTCTGTCTGTCTGTCTCTCTCACTCTGCCTACCGCCCACTCTCCTCTCTCGGCAGGGGTCTGCTGGGCCGGCCAGGCTGGCGGGACTCGGAGCTGCTGCGGCAGTGCCGCGGCTCGGAGCAGATGCTCTGGGGGCTGCCCTGCTCCTGGGTGCAGGTGCCTGCCCACACGTGGGGCCACTCGGAGGAGCTGGCCAAGGTGGTGCGCGGCCGCATCCTGCAAGAGCAGGCCCGCCTCGTGTGGGTGGAGCGTGGCAGTGGCAGAGGCTGCAGCAGCAGCAGCGAGGCCTGAGGGCCCCTTCTGATGCCTGCGGCTTCCTCAAGCACTGCAGAAGCCACCAGCGGAGACCCTGGTGCCTGCGGCGGAAACTGGTCCTCCCTGTCCTGAGCCTTCCCAGGCCTTTCGGCCTCGGCTCTGGGCTCTCACGGGAGGGATCTCAGCCCTCGGGCAGAGTTTCCACCCACCCTGTACATGCTGCTCTGGGCCTTTCTGTGTGCCCCCGTGTCTCTGTCCCCACGCGAGGGTCTGTGTCCCTCCATCATTGCTTACCCTGAAGCACCTGAATTCTCACTCCTGTGTACAGGTTTACACACCCAAGTTCTCACAGGGTAGGCTCCTGTCTGTCCCTACCCCCTGGGCACACGAGGTCTCCTAGGCGCTCAGCCTGTTCTGATCCCAGGAGCCTCGGGCCTGCCTTTGTGACTCCCACCTGTTGAGCTCACGTTTCTTACACATGGGCATTGTGGCTTCCCTGGTCTACTGTCACCTGTGCCCCTTGTGTCTTCTAGTCACACACATGTCTGTGGTTCTCTCCTGTGTAAATGTTGTGCCCCACACCCCTGTGACACTTGGGCACTAACACACGTGTTCCTGGTGAGCACACCTAGGACCATGTTCTCACAGTGCCCGCTCCCTGCCCTGTCCCTTCTCAGGGAGACAGGTGGAGAGGGGGCTGGCTGCTCCATCCCCAGAATGTATGGCTCGTGAATTTTTAATGGGCCTTTTTTACTCAGAAGCTGCACATTATGGAACATTAAACAATTTGTCATAGAAGTTGGTGGCCTTTTGATTGCTTGTATCCCTGGCCTGGGGACCCTCCTCTCTTCCCCTCCCCCACCGTCCCTACCCCCCAGCTCAGGCCGATACCACCTTTCAGGTCCCCGCTTGCCTGTGGGGAGGGTCAGATTTCACTCCTGACTCATCCCTGAGCCGCCCGCCATCTGTGCCGGCATCACCTTACCTGGCCTGGAATGACCGGAGGAGGGCCCCACAGATGGGGCACCCCCACGCCCAGCCCTGTGTCTGATCATCAAAAGAGTGTCCCCTGGAGTGGGGACACTGAGGTCAGCAGGATGTGGTCTTAAGTTTAAGGGGCCTGGCTACTGAGTCCAGGAGACCAAGAACAAACCTTCAGTGTGCAGTCAGGTCCCTAAGTCAGCTCCTCCAGAGAGAGGAAGGTCACCTGCAGTGGGAGAAATCCAGGTGGGCTTACTGGAGGAGGTGCCACTTGAGCTTGGGGTTTGGGATTCCTTTCTTCAAGAAGCATTTATTGGATCAATGTGCCTATGTGCTGTCCTAGGTCATACTGTAACTGTCCTCAGTAACAGTAATGAACTTGGGCCTGCCCCTAGGAGGTTTTGGGGAAGTGGGTTACTAGGTAGAGAAAACTTCAAGAGCAAAGGCTCAGAGGCAGAAAATGGGTTGAGTTTGGCCACTGGGAAGCGGGAAGAAGTGAGGCTGGGAAGTCCAGGGATGGGGGCTGCCTAAATCTTAGTGTCCTTTGAGGTCTGGCTCAGACACCATCCCCATGAAGCCGGCTCAGTTCTCTCAGCCCTCGGGACTTCTCCTTGGCCATGCCATGCCCTGCCTAGTGGCTGGATAATGGGTCTCTGGATGTCTGTGGGCTCCCCGGATGAGGAGATGGGGCCATGCTCATGGGGTAAATGACCGTCTCCCCTCTGTGCTGTGTGCCTCGCCCAGTCCTTGGTCTAAGGATCTATGAGTCTGGGTGAAGATGCAGGAACCCAGTGACTCAGCTGTCTGCCTGGTCCCATGTTAGGTGACCTTTCCATGGGGGTAGAGAAGCCCACTAATCCTTTAATTCTCACCAAGCCTTATTTTTGTCCCCATTTTACAAATGATAGGAAAGCAAAGTTCAGAGAGGTGAAGTTACTTGCCCAGAGTCACACAGCTAGTGAGTGGCACAGTCAGGATTTGAATTGTGGTCTGTGTGGCACGAAGCCAGGGGTCACTTGGTGATGCTATTCTGAGAAGATGGGCTGTGAAGGGGCCTGGTGTGGGGCTGACCCATGGGAAGGTGAGTCGTAAGGGTTGGTTTTCCTAATGCAGGGTTGGGCCACAGCAGGCCCAGTTCAATTCACCAGCCATCTGGTACTTTCTTGTGTCTAATTAACAAATATTTATTGAGCTCCAACTATGTGCCAGGCACTGTTCTAGGCACTGGGGAAATTTAGTGAATTAAAAAAAAAAAAGAAAATCCCTGCCCTGATATTCTCATGAGGAAGATAGACTATACATAAGTAAAATAGGATGTTGGAAGATGAAAAATGCTATGGAAACGACCCAGCAAAAAAAGGGGACCTGGGAAGGACAGGTTTGGGGGCCTGTGAACTAGGGGGTGGGGAGCAGGGATCATAATTTAGATAAAGTGGTCCAGGAAGGCCTCATTGGGAATATGCATTTGTGTGAAGACCTGAGGGAGATGTGTGGCTCTCTGGGGAGAGGCCCAGGCAGGAATAGCATGTGCAAAGGTCCTGAGGGGGGTGAGTGCCTGGAGTGGCCAGGAGCCCAGTGGGTCTGGAGTGGAGGGAGCCAGGGGAAAGTAGTAGGAAGCGGGGTTGGAGTTAAGTGGGGGCCAGGTCCTGCAGGGCCTGTGGGCTGGTGTACGATCTTTGGCTTTTGATCACAAAGGAGGATGGAAGCCAGTGCAGGGTTCTAGCAGGGGAAGGATGCAGTACGAGTGACCTCGTGCGAAACTAGGTGGAGGGGGTGGCTGGAGAAGGCCCTCTGTGTGTCCACTGTTTTGGCTGAGAGAGAGGCAGCAATAAAGATGGCTGAGAGAGATGAGTACTGAGGGCCACAGCAGGACAGGCTCCCTCAGGGGGCCTTCTGTGGGCCAGAGACCTGGCTCTGTGGCTGAGCTGCTGGATCATTTTAGATCATTCTGTGGTGTGTGCTCAGCTATAAACTGGGATTAAAAATGCTAGTGCCGTTGTGAAGACCAAAGGAACTGCCCGAACTGCTGGGGGAGCTCCAGAGGTTGGAAGGGGGCATCCGAGAAGGCCCCGTGGAGAAGGGACTCTGAGCTGAGCCTTAAAGTCCAAATAGAATTTAGCCTGGTGGAGGGTACGTGGATGACCATGGCTGAGGGAGAGCAACCAGGAGGAGGAACAGTGTGAGCCAAAGCTGGGAGGCTGGATCCCAGGTCACCATAAAATAAAGGGTGTTGAATGAGCTACGCTGCCCATCTCTGGGGAGTAGGGAGTGGGAAGGCTGGAGGGCCCCTTCCTTCCATCCGGGCATAGAGAGTTTGTTTGTTGCTCCCACCCCCACTGCAGCAGCTGTCAGGGTCGGGGCTGTCCCTTCAGCTGCCTCTTTTCCAGCCACCTCTGGGACTCTCATGGGGGCAGCCCCGCCCCTCAGGCTGCGCTGGAGGCAGGGGCGGGGCCAGGCGCCCCAGAGCCCGCGGCGGGAGCGCAGCCAGAGCAGGTGGAGGGCTGGCGGCAGTGGTGGAGGGGCTGCCATGGCTCGGCCTCTGGGGCCAGAGCACTAACTCCCACCTCTTCCCTCCTTGCCTGTCTCCGATGCCTGCCAGACTTTGGCCTTTGCCGGGCACCCCGCCTGACCAGCCTCCCCTCCCCGTCCAGTTGGGATTGGGGGGCTGAGCCGTCTGGGGTCCGAGGGCCAATGCAGTGCCGGCTCCTCCGGGGCCTGGCCGGAGCCCTCCTCACCCTTCTGTGCACGGGGCTCCTCTCCCTTCGGTACCACTTGAGCCTGTCTCCGAAGGGCGTTCAGGAGACTCCGGGGCTGAGCCCGCCAAGCCATCCGCCCCCAGAGCTGCAGCTGCGGGATGTCTTCATCGCAGTCAAGACGACCCGGACCTTCCACCGCTCGCGCCTGGAGCTGCTGCTTGACACGTGGGTCTCCAGGATCAGGGAACAGGTGACCAGCTGCCGGCTGTGGGCCCCAGGAGTGGCCCCTGGCCTGAGGGACTCAAAGAGGCCTTTGTACTGGGCCGGGGTCCTTGGAGGCCTCACAGGAGAAGCTTCCTGTCCACCTCCCCACTCCCCCAGACTCCCGGGATCCGGGGACCCCAGCAGCCCTGGCCGTGCCTGCTGGCTGTAGAGCCCACTGCTCCTCAGGCTCGCTGCTCTGTCTCCTTCCGAGGCTAAGCGCCTGCCCCAGGCTTCTGGGTCCCTCCGGGGGTGACTTTATTCCCTGGCTGTTTCAGTGCAGGCTTCACTCCTGCTCATCCTGGCCCAGCCTGGCTCTGGGGGCAATGGTGGGTTTTGGGTGGCTGCGGCAGAGGCCTTGGAGGTCCTGGCTGACACGCACCCAGGCGGATGCCTCCAGTCCAGACCCTGGGTGATGTCCTTCTGGCTGTGAGAACAGGGGCTGAGCTGCTGAGGAGGGGACCATAGGTGGTGCCCGTTGGGGAAGGGGCCGGTGTGGGGGGCATCCTTTTGGAATTCCTGACAGCCCCTGCCCCCATGCCTCTGGTGCCAAGGGTGTGCCAAGGGGAGCAGCATCTTGCCTCCTGTGCTCATTTCCTGTAGGGCAGTTTCCGAGGCAGGAAGGGAGGGTACGTGCTATGACGGTGGTGGCTGAGGCAGTGGTGGGCACGAGGTTGGGGTAGGGGCCTACCCAGCACGTGGGATTGTGTGTGTGTGTGTGTGCGCGCACGCACACAAGCATGCACGCTCATGTGCATGCACGCTCACATGCATGGAACCAAGGTGTGTGTTAGACACGCTATGGCAAGGGGCATGTGGGTGACGGCTCCTGGCTTATGTCTGTCCCTGGAGGCAGCTCTGACAAGCAGAGTCCCTCCTGGCTCTCTCCCTCCCCACACCCAGTGCCCACCTCAAGCGAAGTCAGTGATTTGGGGGTGTTAGGAACCATCTGTGTGTGCGTGTGTGTGTGTGTGTGTGTGTGTGTGTGTGTGTGTATAAATCTACCATCTGAGGGGTAGGTTTACACACACGCATACGCACACACACACACACGCACTGTCCCCACTTTGGCAGCTGGCTCAGTGGGAGGAAGTGACTGAGCCTTCAGAGGGGGTTGGGGACTCCTGGGAGACTAAGGAGGGGGGAGGTGATGCCTGATAAGAGATCAGAGCCTCCCGGGGAGAGGGCACCCCCTGCCCCATGTCCTAGCACCCTGGATTAACACTTTCTCTGCCAGGCCCCCGGCACCCCAGGCTCTTTCTTGAAGCCCCCGCATAACTTCTCATCTTGGGGAGATTCTGGTTCTACTTGCGGAAGCAGCTGAGCCTGGCCCTCCCCAAAGACCTTCCTGTTTATGGTGCTGTGTCTGTGTGTACCCGGGACCGTGGCCTCACGTGGTCTGAGGCCCTTTCCTGTCTTGTCTTGATTACTATAGTGGTGCCCTTGCCTCGAATGAGGAAACTGAGGCCAGAGAGGAGGAAGTGCTGGCCAGCGTTGTCCCGAAGGCCTGAGGGGGCAGAGCCCAGTGGGACCCAGCCCCCACCTCCTGGCTGGGGCCCTACCTTCTCTGCGGAGACCCGGGATCTTGGAACTGCCTGATCACTGGGCTACAAGAAAGGGTCTTTAGGCCTCCAGCCTGGGTGGCAGGACCAGGCCAGCAGAAGAGAGGCAAGCAGCCAACTCCTCTGGGTCCTGAGCTCAATCCCGGATGCCAGCCAGGCAGCCAGAGGAGTACCTGCCAGCTGCTCAGCATCTAAGGGGCTGCGTGTCAGATGCATCACCCTATTTACCCCTCATAGTGATCCCGAGTGGTAGCTATTGTGGGGGTTGGGAGGAGTTCCCTCAAAATGTGCCTCCCTGGCACGCAGATTATTTCAAGCCGAAAACGATTAAAGCCCAACAAACTCAAGAAGAGGTTTTTACTCCTGCCTTTCTTGCCTAAGGAGATTCAGCTAGAAAAAGCTGCTTCAGGGAGGGAACTTTAGCTTTGTTACCTTAGCATATTTGAATCAAGTGTGGCAGACAGAGGATTCAAGCAAAAATCTGTTCGTTAGATGCTCCTTTGTGTCCCATTATTTCTAGCCCTGTAAGAATTTGTTTACCAAATGTTTGCTCTTTCTCATCTACCTCTGAATTGCCTGCCTCTCCCTTCTTAGTCCAGAATCCTCACTGTCTTTGGAATTTTCATACGTATGTGAATTCCCCATGCACACCTATAAAAATTTGACTTTCTCCTGTTAATGTGCTGTACATCATTTGAATTATTCAACCAGCCAGAAGAACTAAAGGGGTAAGGGGAAGGTTTCCCCAGCCGACACTATTGATATTCCCATTTCACCAGCGAGGAAACTGAGCACCGTTAAGCAGAGGTAGGAGATGAATTCACTCAGACACCTGCCCTCACCCCCAGTGCCAGGGGCAGAGTCTAGAATTTTGTCCTTTAAGACAGAGTTGAAAAAAGGAAAGATGCTCAAACAGAGGAAGAGGAGGGGGCGCGGGGAGACCACGCTCGCCACTGCATCTGGGCCCCCCTTTGTCTCCACTCCTTGGCTCATCTCTATGACTTTGACCCAGGCCCTCCGTGTTTTAGCCCTCGGTTTCCCCATCTTCATGGGACGGAAGGATCTTGGAGCCTCTCTCAGCTCTGCCATCAGAAGCGGGCCTGAGCTGGTTAACTCCAGGGCTGGGCACCCACCCCAGCTGGTTAAGGGCGGCCTGGTGGCAGGTGGGCCTTTGTGGAAGCGGGCTGGGGCTCGTGCTCTGGCCCTTGTCCCATTCAGAGGGGGCGGGCTGGAGGAGGCATGTTTTGTGATCTGTGAGGAGCCTTTCTCTTCCCCACAATCCCCTTGGGGGCAGGGGTAGGAGGGCTGTGGGGAGCAGTGATGGCCCCGCATCTCCCCTCTTCTGTAGCAGATGGCCCCCGGCCAACCCCTCCCTTCCCCCCCGGCTGGCTGCCTGTCCTTTTGTTTTCCTGCAAGGTTTTAACCATTGTCAGGGTCCCCTCTTTAAACACACCAAGTACAACCCTCGCTCAGAGGAAATTGCCTGCTGCTGGTGCCAACCTCAGGCTGGCCATACACCCTGCCCAGCCCCAGGCCCTGCTTCAGGGCCCCTCCCCCTCCCACCCCCCATCACTGATTCACTGGGGCTTGCTTGCCCATCAACAATGTTCCCTGACCCATTTGGCCCGTGCTGCAAACTTGAGAGAGTTCCACTATCTCCACTGGCTGTTTGGTGGCAAAAGTTTGCCAGGGAGCAGGGGGAGAAAGGCCTGACTTCTTTTACTGGCTCCCTTGGGAGCTGTGTTGAAAACGGACGTGAGGTTGGGGGTAGGACAGAGCAGGGAGCCCAGGGAAAAGGTGACTGCAGCAAAGCAGGCAGGAGGTGACAAGGGTGGGCTGGGCCGTGGGGTGGCCCTGGAGGCTGGTGGGGAGAGGATGTACCCCGGGTGGACAGCATGTGCTGACAGACCGGATAGGGGGTGTGAGAGAAAGAGAGGAGACATGGTGACCCCAAGTATTGGGTCCAAGCAAGATGGGGAGACCAAGAGGAATACAGGTCTTGGGGTGGGGGTGGTCAGTGCTCAGTCTTGAAGCACTGAGTCTGAGGGGCCTGTTAGGTCTCTGGGGACGAATGGGGATAAGTCATGGCTGCAGTGGGGTTTGAGAGCAAGGGAGAGGTCTGAGGCCCGTGGGTTCGAATCCCAGCTTACACTTGCCAACTGTACAGCCTTGGGCTGTCCCTTAGCCTCAGTTGTGCCGTCTGTGAAGGGGACAGAGTACAACACCCATCTTGATGCTCAGTGAGCTGTCAGGGCCCAGGAGTGTGAAAGGTCCCGGTGGGGTGCCTGTCCGACCTGGGAGAGCTGGATTGGATCTTGATACAAGATTTCCGAGATGTGTCAGGGCCCCTGCACTCACACAGGGAGTTTGTGCGACTGTGAAAGTTGTGACTATCTCCCTAAGTGGTGTCCCAATGTGTGGGTCTTTTCACATGGGTCTGTCTCCTGACATAGTGTTGTGTATAAGTGATTGTGGAGAAGCTAAGTGGGACTGTGTGTGTGTGTGTGTGTCTGTGTGTGTGTGTGTCTGTGTGTGTGTGTGCGTGTGTGTGTGTGTGTTTGGGGGGAGGGTAGCTGAGAAACTCGTGTTGTCTTGAAGGAGTGTGTGGCTATGAGAGGGATTTGTGTCTATCACTGAAGGAGGACAGAGGTCTGCTATGTGTGTGTGTACCTGGATTGGGGTTCGTTGGGGGCTTGGCTGTGGTGGGCTGTGGGCTGACCCCCCAGAGTGCCCTTGGCTGAGCCCAGTCCTGACTTCTCTTTTTCTTTCCCAGACATTCATCTTTACTGACGGCCCGGATAAAGGCCTCCAGGAGAGACTGGGTAACTCTGCCTGCCCTGGGTGGGGTGGCTATCCCCTGGCCTGGGAGCCCCCAGGAAACAAGGCTGCTCAGCCATGGCACGTGGGGATTCTCCTTGGCTCAGGACGGGAGCAGGCTTCTTCCCTGGAGATGGGTGTGGGTGTGGAGAGGGACTGTGCCAGACAAGACCCTGGACATCTGGGCACCAGCCTAACCTGTTTTCCGTCAGCTCTGGGCTTCTGGGCGGGTCAGCCCTCCCTGACCTCAGTTTCCCCATGTGTAAAATGGGAGTGGGTAGACTACTCCAGGCTCTCCGAGACCTTGCTCTACATTGTCGCAGAGTGTGCAGAGCTGTGGGGAGGAACCGGGCAGGGGTCCCTGACTAGTCTTCGCTTCTCCAGGGCCACACCTTGTGGTCACCAACTGTTCTGCGGAGCACAGCCACCCCGCCCTGTCTTGCAAGATGGCTGCTGAGTTTGATGCCTTCTTGGCCAGTGGGCTGAGGTGAGTGCACTTGGGTCTCTGGGGACAGGTGTGACATTTGCCTCACGCCAGTTCCTGAATGGGGTGTTGTGTTGAAAACGTCATTTTCAAAAACATGAAGTCATCTGGGTCCTGTGAATTAAATTCCACCATGCAGGACCTACTGTGGTCTGTCTTTGGGCAGACCGTCTGGATTCAAATCCTGTCATTCACTGGCTGTGTGATCTTAGGCAAGTGTCTTAACCTTTCTGAGTCACAGTCCTCATCTGTTACATGGACACACCTTCTTCAAGATCTTACACAAGATGCTGCCTGGCATAGAACAGGCACCTCACATATGAGCCGCCCTTGCCCTGTAACTGCTCATTGACTGATTTAGGGGGCACAGGCAGAGTCTGGCTGGCTGGCAGCCTTTAGGAACCCCACTCCAAGCTCATTGGCCACATGTCCATCCCTACAGGTGGTTCTGCCACGTGGATGATGACAACTATGTGAACCCAAGGGCACTGCTGAAGCTGCTAAAGGCCTTCCCACAGGCCCTCGACGCCTACGTAGGTCGGCCTAGCCTGAACCGGCCTATCCACGCTTCTGAGCCGCGGCCCCACAACCGCACGGTCTGTTCCTCCCTGACTCCTTTGTATGCTGGCCACCATACAAAGGCCAGGCCAGATTTGGGGTGAGGGTCAGGCTGGGGAGGGGCCAGGCTGGGGCAGGGCTGTGGAGGAGTCGGGAGGGTTTTCTGGGTTTCAGATTTGGCCTTGTCGCTCTGTGTTTGGGCTGGTGGATTTGTCTCTGATCCTCAGCCTCCTCTGTGAAATGGGGATACAGATGATGCTGGTAAGGCAGAGAGACTGTCACATAGTAGGGCCTTGGTCGTTGAGGAGCACTGGCTTCTAATGAAGCGCGTGTGGGGTGAGCTGAGGCTTCCCGACTCCACCGCTGGGCAGCTAGTCACCTGGTGTCATCGTGTAGTCGTGCAGGTTCTTTAGATGCTGAATGCTGCTGGGCCAGGTGGTAAATTGCCGCTGCCTCTGACCCCCAAATTCTTACCTCCCCTGGGTGACCCCACTGCAGACTTCACTGACCAGCAACTGAAGAGTTGACACCTGGCACAATAGGGTCCCCTGCACCAGCTTCAGCTCCAGATCTTGATGGACACTGATTAAGCTTGCCAGGTTTAGAAAATAAATAAACAAAACCCAGGATACCTGTTAAATCTGACTTTCAGATAAACAAAGAAGAATTTTTTAGTCTAAGTATGTTGCATGGTTTTTCTCTGTCCCCAGGATGCCACCAGGCTTTCGGGACTGGGGAGGCCAAGGCCTCTAGGGCTTCTTTAGCCCCCAGAAAAAGGCAAGTCAGGGGGTCCCTTGCCTGGAGGCGGAGCCTGCAGCAGGAGCTGGGCCCTGCTGTGGGGCTGTCTCCCTCCCTAGGTCACCATCTGCTTCATCAGGGAAACCAAGAGCAGGAAACGCAAAACCTTAATTAGCAGCTAATCAGCCTCTGAGTCTTAATTAAACCCTCCTGAGCTCCAGGGTGTGTGCATGTGAGTCATTCTAGGTGGGTCTAGGGGTCTCTCAGGCTCCCATACCACCTTGCCCCCGACCTTCGAGGTTGAGAACTCTGCTCTGCAGCCAGACTCTCTGGGTTCACATGCCAGCCCTGCCATCTCCTGGCTTCGTGACCTTGATTGAAGTCAACTTACCTCTCCGTACCTCAGTTTTCTCATCTGTGAAATGGGTGATAATAGTCCCTTACTTATAGGGTGGTTGTGAGTAAAAAAAAGCTAAGTGTCATCTATTTAAGTGCTTGGGATGGGACCTGGCATGTAATAGACACTGGTGTTAGCAATCAGTACGCGACTCAGCTCAGCCTTCATCTCTGAGCTGTGTTCTTCCTGTGCAGGTTCAGCATCCTGCTGGGCACATCCAAGCCCCGCCCGCTGAACATGCACGAATGCCTTCCTTGGCACACATCTTACCAGGGGGATGCCAGGACTCTGCCCTCGGCCTGATCAGATCCTGAGGTCCCTCGGGGTGGCTCCGGCTTGAGGTCAGTCCCAGCTGGGACCTCAGGCGAGTGACTTTATTTCTATGAACCTCAGTCCCCTCATCTGTAGCATAATCCTTAGCAAAGAGCTTGGCACAGTTAATGCTCAGGGTTAGGCAGCTCTTTGTTACTGCTGTCGTTACTATAATTATCTGGGAGTGGAAGCCGTGTGCTCATTAATTCATTAAATAAGCATTTATATTTATAAGCTTTTTCTGTGTCAGCTACTCAAGAAGCCATTCATTCTGCTTTATTGAGCTCTGACCTCTCTCTAAGCAAGTGGGATTTCCAAAAGTAAGCTCATAGAGGTTTTTAGGGGAATACCTCTGGGCCAGGAAAACCATCAGGTTTAAGAACTTAGAGCTGATGATGCGCTCACAGGTGACAAATCAGAGGCCCAGAGAGAGGCAGTGACTCTCAAAGTTCTGCTTTGAGCTGTGCAGTGGAGGAGGGAGGCTTCCCAACTCCCTGAGGAGGGTTCTTTTCACTGCTCATCGTGGGAGATAACTCAACCCAATGCAGCATGCCTCAATGAAGCACCAACTGTGTACCTGGGAGAAGGTAACCTTAGAGAACTTGTTTGACCAGGAGATGGTACAGCTGAAAGGGTATAGTGTTTCTCAAAAACCTTAGAGGAATCCGTGGGTGAATTCACGGGTCCTCACAGAGGAGGTAGAAAAGGCCTTGGTGATGCTGGGCAGGGGAAGAAAATGGTTTAAATTCTAAAGGGTTGTTATTGGTTCCTGAGATTGCAGTGTCAAGAGTTTGCTGGCCTCAAGGGCTCACAGGACTGTCTATTCTCTCTTACTCTGTGAAAGGCCTCATTCTTTCCTTTCGTGGAAAAGTTTTCTTGGTCCCAGGAGTTGGGAGTAGTGAGGCCAGTGTACATGGCCCAGTATAGGTGGCATCAGGATTACAGCTTCCAGCTGGTGACCCTGTAAAAGCATCTCTTCCTTACAGTTAGCAATATAGAGCTCAGGAGAAGACTCCGATTGGCTGGCCTAAGTCATGTGCCTATTGCTGAGCCAATCAGTGGGTCAAGGGTTGTGGCCCTGCACTCATTCCTGGGGCATCTGCTCACTTCTGTAGCCTAGAGGAGCAAGTTCTGTGTTTGGCAGCTCCTCCCAAACCCCAGGCTTACTCTGCTCCTTGGCCCTCCTGTTCTCTTTCCCCCAGAGGCTGGTGCAGTTCTGGTTCGCCACTGGGGGTGCTGGCTTCTGTATCAACCGCAAACTAGCTTTGAAGATGGCTCCATGGGCCAGGTAAGCAGAGACCCCCAGGTGGGTGGGGGAGGGTGAGCGGCGTTGAGAGGTGGTGGCACCTGTTGTGTGTGTGGGGCCTTTGCAGCAGGAAGGGCTTGAGAGAGAGCATAGGAGCTCACACGGTACGCAGGAGGCAGATGCTAGAGCCGAGCTCTGCTCTGCTAGCTGGTCCCAGTGGAGGGCCTTCTGGGAGGCAGGGAGAAGCTCTAGGTGTTGAGGGCCCAGGCCAGTGGCATTGCATGGCTCTGTTCCTCAGCGGCCCCCGCTTTGTGGAAACATCCGCCCTCATCCGGCTGCCTGATGACTGTACCGTGGGCTACATCATTGAGTGCAAGCTGGGTGGCTACCTGCAGCCCAGTCCCCTCTTTCACTCCCACCTGGAGACCCTACAGCTGCTGGGGGCTTCCCAGCTCCCAAAGCAGGTAAGCCAGCCTTGGGCAGGTGGCAGTGGGGGAGATGTTTGTGTTTGGGCTATGCCTACTGATGAGGAAACTGAGGCTCAGGGTGGCAAAGGACCCACTTAAGGGCGTGCATTGACTTACCGCCTCCAACCCTCAAGGGCTGGCAGTTGTGATGCTAAAATTCTTGATCTGGTCCCCAAATGCCAGCTGGAAGGAACTGCACAGACGAGATGAAGCTTGTCTTCAGGTTCAGACAGCCCTGCTCCCCACCTGCTGCCTCCTGTTCCTCTCTCCTTTCTCCCATCCTCCCCACACCCCTCCAAAGGGGCCAAGCCTGCCCTTTCCAGCTTTGCCTGTCAGTAGCCCCTTCCTTCATCAAAGCTTAACTGTCCACTGCTTGCTGCTTTCCCTTCTAACTCAGATGTTACTGGGAAGGACCAGGTCTTCAGTGAGGACACTCAAGCATAAGGTGGTGGGATGTGACACCCACCCATCCCACCACCCAGGAGGTCCAACTGGCACTGCCTTGCAGATGCTGCTCTCCAGCTCATGGGTGTTCAGCCCTGTCTGGGACCAGCCCTGGGATCAGCTGCCCAACAGTGTGAGTCAGAACCTTTTTGGCTGCAAGTGATAGAAAAGCAACACAGACTGGGCCTGTGCACCTGAGAAGCTGAGGGCTTGGCTTGACTTGCCAGATCGGGCTGGGTCTGGGCTCTCAGACTCTATTCCTGTTTTTACCTGCCCTCCCCCGTGTTGGCCTCGTTCTCAGGCATGCAGGCCCCTTGTGCTGGCAAGATGGCAGCCCCAGGTTTCTCTCACTATTGGGAAGAGAGCACCTCCTTCCGTCACATCCCCAGGCTGGCACTCATTGGTCCGATGGGCCCACTGGGTCACATGACCTGTCTCCTACCAGCACCTAGAATTAGTATAATTTGGCTAGGCCTGGAACTGGGGTGTGGAGTTAGTCCCATAAGGAACAGAGGGCCTGAAGCCAGAAAAGTGGGGCAGATTTGGGGTAACCAAAACCAGGGTACCCTAAAGGGGCTTCTGGAGCACCCACTGAACCAGGCACCACTGTGGGGGCTCTATCCTCTTTATCTCTCTGGTTCCTCACAACATTCACATGCGTGGTGCTAACATTATTCCCATCCTACAGATGCATAAATGGAGGCCCAGAGGGTGGAGCTAGCCACGGCACACAACTAGTCCATGGAAGAGGGGGATTTGAACCCTGTTTGGGTGGTCCCAAAGCCCACAGTCTACCATTGGGGTCATTATCCTGAGTCCTCATTGCCCGTGGACAAACCTGAGGCTCTGGGTGGAGAGGGATTTGTCAGGGCCCCACAGCAAGTCCCAGGAAATCTCCATCCATGCATGGAACTTACTGGAAAGGTGCCTTCCCCTCTTGAGCCTCAGTTTCCCAATCTATAGATGAAGGAATCATTCCAACTCCTAGGTAAGCTGGACTGTTGGGGGTGCAAATGAGATTTGGGCCTGAAATTGCTCTATAAGCTTAAAGAACTTGGGGAGTGGGGTGAGCTCCTCTGTGACACACCCACTGCTAATGAGGTTTCAGGCTCAGAGGCAGCCTTTCTGTGCCCTCAAAATGCCCTATGTGCCTTCCTGCTTCTCCTCAAATTCTGCGCTCCTTGTGGGGTCCCCAGTGGAGCACCCCAATCTTTCTTCTCTTCTTCACTTCTCTGTGCCCAGGTCACCCTCAGCTATGGTGTCTTTGAGGGGAAGCTCAACGTCATTAAGCTCCAGGGCCCCTTCTCGCCTGAGGAGGACCCTTCCAGGTAGGTCTGGGGGCTGAAACTGTAGAATGGGAAGGGTGGGGGCTGAATTCAGGCACCCAAAGATGGGAGAGCAGGAGGGAGGAAGTGAGAGAGGCCTTGGGGCCAACCAAACTGAGCTCGGAGGGTGTGGATTTCAGTTCCTGCTTTACCGCTGGCTTGCTACGTTATCTTGGGCATGTGCTTTGCCCTCTCTGGGCCTCAGTCTCCCCATTTGGTAACATGAGGAAGCTGGGTGTTGCAGATCTGAAGGGCTCTTCCAGCCCTGATCCTCTGGGATTCTTCAGGAGACCTTGGAAGTCTGAAAAGTCTTCACCAAGCAAAAGAGACACTAATGGAGGACCTTCGAGCACTGATAGGGAATTTTTATTTGATCTTTTGTAGGCTCTTTGTATCTTTGATACTCTTCAATGGTTTTTTTTTTTCCTAGTGGGTACAGGATTGGAATGGGGGCTAAGATGCCAGTTGGGTACCTTCCAGTTCTATCCCCAAAACTGGCCACAGGGAGGTTAGGGCTGTTCAGCTCATCCCTCAGTTGCTGTAGAGCAGCTTATAGCAGCACCACCTGTGGCAGGAGGGAACAAGGTGCTCTCAAGAAAGTAAAGGAAGCCAGTTTGACTAGAATGAGAGGAGGGTAGGAAGAGAGGAGGGTGGTGTCAAATTCAGTTGCGGAGTTGGCAGGGGGGACCCCTCCAAAAGGCCTTCTGTCTGAACTTTGTATTTATCTGAAGTATGTAACCTTTGGGGGAACCAGGAATACTGGTTCTGAAGTTCTGCAGAGATGTCTGTTTGGAGGCAGAAGGCTCACAACTATTCCAAGGGCCCTGGGGCCCAGGAGCTGCCTTCTAGTGGGGTGAGCTCCCCATCAGTGGAAGTGTGCAAACTATGGCTGTACTGGCAGGAGGTTTAAGACCTGATGTTAAATTCTCTCTAAGCCTGAAGATCCTAGAATCCATAGATTTCTGCCTAATGGGGCTCGAGTCAACTGGTGACTCAGACATATGTGGTTAGATCGTCTAGTCTCAGCTAAGGTCCCTTCGTGGTTTCTCTGGCCTTTGAAGACTCACATTTGACAATGTCTGGAGACGTTTTTGATTGTTTTGACTTGGGGAGATGCTACTGGCATCCAGTGGGTAGAGTCCAGGGATGCTGCCAAACATCCTACAATGGACAGGACAGGCCCCACAACAAAGAATTATCTGGCCTCAAGTGTTAATAGTGCTGAGGTAGAGAACCCCTGCTCCAAACCGTCTTTATGATGTGCGCTTCCCTAGGAGTCCGTGGGGGTGAGGGTAGGAGTGGGGGTGACCGTCTTGTCCATTTCTGGTCTCTCCATAGGTTTCGTTCCCTACATTGTCTCCTCTACCCAGATACTCCCTGGTGCCCACAGCTGGAGACCCAGTGAACCCCCAACTACTGGGCAACTGTTGGGCTGAGACCTCTGGTTGTTCCTCGCCTCCCAAGGCAGCCTGAGTGCTTGTGGCAAGTGCCCTGGGGTGGGCAGTCCCTGGCAGGGCCTCCAAGTGGTGGGAAAGCCCAAGATTGGATGGTGGATGGTGGTGAAGGCATCTCAGGTCCCTGGGAGGAGGGTTAGACAGCCCAGGGACCAGGGCCAGAGAGACTCCAGAGGCTGGGCTGCCATGGGCCCTGGGTGGCTAAATTGAATGAGGATGGGGACCATTAAGCTGGGCTAGGGCTCAGTGGTCCTAACCCTCTAGAGAATTACATGGGCCTCTTGGTGGGGTCTGGCTTCCACCCCCAACTCTGGCCTCTCAGTCATTCCTCTGGAGTCAAATGCTGGGCCACCCACTCCTGGATCCCTTGGCTGGGTCCCCAACCACTGAGAAACCCAGGTGGAAAAGTGGCAGAGTGCAGACATTATGGCAGATACTGTTTTGTTGACCAGTCTCCAGCTCCTCGCTCTCTACCCCTTGCTAACAGAACCCGATTTTGTTTGGAGTATCAGCCTGCCCAGACAAGATAATGCATCATGACGGGTCCCAGTCAATCTTGATGATCCTTTTGCTCACTTTCTCAGCCTCCCTTGCTGTTAGGAGCTACCATGTGTCCCATCTGGCTCTGGCCGGAGCCAGAGCTCTGTCTGTTAATGTGAACTAAGCAAAGCCAATGGAGAGGATTCTGGGGAAAGTTTGTGGCCCCATACCTCATCTTCCTGCTGTGAATGTGGGTGTGATGTCTGGATCTGGGGCAGCCATCTTGCTGCCATGAAGGAAAGGCCAAGACAATCATCTACCCTCGTTCTTTCCAGCACCTGGTTCTGCAAGAAAATTAAATCCTTATTTGTTTAAGCTTCTCCTGGTCCAGTTTTTTTTTTTTTTTTTTTTTTATACATAGCCAAAGTGTTCCTGGCTGGGGCAGGGTTTTGATCTGTTTGCTACAGTGGTGATGGTAGTGCTAATGGTAATGCCTTGCCGTCTGTGTAACCTTGGGGAATCCACTTGCTCTCTGGCCTGTTTGCCCAGATGAGAAAAAGAACACCATGTTCATGGGCTGATATAGTGTTTGTAAAGGGCACAGCACAGAGCCTGGCATAGAGAAAGGAGCTTGGCATAGTGAATGGTGACTGCTATTAGTGTGTGTGTCGTGGCGTGCCGGGGTGTGTTAGGATGTGCATGGGTATGTGTGTGTGGTGTGTACCCTTCTACACACATCTGGGCATAAGACTTATGTGCGGTGTATGTATGTGTCTGTGCCCTATCACACATGCATGTATAATGTACACATGTGTGAATACGTGTGTACCATGAGGTGCTGGTATGTGAAAGCTATTCCTTCTTTCCTCTGCCCTCAGGGCCTAGGGTGAACATAGCCCAAGAATCAGGAAAGGCAGAATGGAGACTTGGAGCTGAGGGATTCAGCCCCTGGTATCAGATAAAGGGGCGATTTGATAACCAAGGCAGGAGCTGAATGAATGCCAAGTCCCAAAGAGGTTGGATGAATGAATGAAGTGATCATGGTGGTGTATGGTAGGGAAGAGTTTGGGATGGGAAGTCTTTTCTCCCATCCGTATCACGCCCAGCGTGAAGCTAGGTCACAGTGGGGCTTGGGCTGGGGGAGGAGGGAGGAGAGATCCTAAGGGTTGCAGGGGCTCTGACCTATGCATCCAGGGCTGGGGTCTCCTTTGGAGCCCATCCTCCTGGCCTTGAAGGACCTTGTCTCTGCTGCAACTCTGTCTGCGATGTCTGGAACCACTGAGCACCAGAGCCTCGGCCCTTGTTTCCCAGGGAGCGGCCTGAGGCCCAGAGAGGCCACATGCTGTGGTTGCACAGCAGGTCAGGTGCTGAGCCAGTGCTGGGGTTCTTTCAAAGCCTCCTGTCTTTCTGGGCTGTCCTAATGGTAGGCTTGTGGGGTGTGAGTGAGCAGGGGTCACCTCTGGTTCTGCAGCCTGGTGGGGACGGAGTGTGTGCTCCAGAGCCACGGTCCTCTCCACCCCGTATGTGGAGGACGGCTGGCCGGTCTGCTCTGAGAACCAGCAGCAGGCTTTCTGGTTGTTCTTGGATTCCGAGGGTCGGGTGGAGGGAACAGGCCATCTGCTGCCTCCATTGTCCCAGAATAGCTGCGGGAAGGAGGGGGAGCAGAGTCAGCAAGGGCCAGAATTGGGATGGAGGAAGGAGTCTGGGTTTAACCCTTTGTGTGTCTGTATGGGGGAGTATGAAGCTGCCTGCACTCTATGCTAAGGTGACTCGCGTGGGCCGCAAAGGCAGGGCTGGGAGTAGGGGGGTGAGGTTGGACCACCCCATATTGGCCTTGCTGTGCTCCTTGGGCAAATATTATTTCCACTTTACAGATTAGGAAACTGAGACATGGAGAAGGAGTATGACCTTAGTCCAGGTCACAGGGCTTAGAGGCGCCAGAGCCAAGATTTGAGGCAACCTGGCCCTGCAGTGGTCATCTCAGCGTGGGATGACTCTGGAGAGACAGAACACCACCAGACCTGGGTCCACCTTCCTTTCCACCTCTGGTTCTCTACCCTTGAGCAGGTGACTTCACTGTTCACTGGCCTCACCTGTAGAACAGGTACAGGTGACTTCTACATAGCATGCTGTGCGGTCTTGAGAGACTGCACAGAGACTGGTGCAGGTAGCTGTTCAATGAACACCACTTCCTTGCCGTTCTGAGCTCAGTGCCTCAGCCATAAAAAGGGGTTGAAGGGGTGCTGGACCAGCCATCGCCCCTTACTCCACCATCCAGGCCTGAGCCACTGTCAGTCCTGGCTCTTTATCACAGCTGCCTCCTCACTGGCCTCCCCACTGCTCACCACTTCAGCATGCTTGTTTCCCCTCCCCGCCATTCTGAGCTCAGTGCCTCAGCCATAAAAGGGGGTTGGAGGGGTGCTGGACCAGCCATCGCCCTTACTCCACCATCCAGGCCTGAGCCACTGTCCTGGCTCTTTATCACAGCCGTCTCCTCACTGGCTTCCCCACTGCTCACCACTTCAGCATGCTTGTTTCCCCCCTAGTGGATGCCCAAGTTCTCTGCCTACACCAGCTCTTCCCTCTCCTTGTAGTGCACCCCTATTTCTGCATGGCTGGATTGAGCTCCAATGTCCCCTCCTAGGGAGGCTCTCCCTGGTCACTCATCAGAAAGTGTTTACCTGAGAGCAGTAGCTGTTGTCACCCACTGTATGGTAGCTCTCCGCATAGGTCCAACCTTCAAAGACAGGTCTCTTGTTGGTGCATCTGCTTACTCATGAGTTTGTTTGTCGTCTGCCCCATCTGACTGTAGGCTCCATGATCCCGAGGATCATGTTGGTTCTGTTCACTGCAACTCCCTGCCTGGCACATAGGAGATGCTCAACAGATATTTGTGGGATGAGTAAGAAAACGAGTGGATTTCTCAGATCTCTTCCAGCCCTGTCTGTGCTTTAAAATTCTGTAAAAGGTGCTAAAATCACTGGGGTGGCAAGGTGATGGGGAGCTTTATAATGGGAGGATCACACGGGTGATACCGATTGTCACCCAGAAAGAGAAAATCTGACCTTGGGTGCTTCTGATAAATGCAATAGGAAGGACACAGCAGCACCCAGGAAGTTGGCTTGCTGAAGTAATTGGCCCTGCATAGGCCAACCATCTGGGTCTAAATACCTGTTTCTGGAAATAGGCAGGGGTCGGGGTGGGGGGAGGAACAGGAGAACATGTTCAATGACACCATGAGGGATCGATCCACCAAATCAACAATGAGGACAAAGGACCTGGTTTCTTCAAGTAAAATGGCATAAAAAAGGAAGGAAGAAAGGACTGTTAGAGATTAAAAGAGATTTAAGAGTCACAGCAACACAATGCAATATATAGACCTTGTTTAGATCCTGGTTCAAATAAGTCAGTCCTAAAAAGACATTTTTGAAAAAAAATGAGGAAATTCGAACATGGACTTTGTATTAGATGGTATTAAAAATTGTCAATTTCATCGAGTGGGATAACAATATTGAGTTTTTCTCGAATATTCTGATATGTGAGAGACACATTTAAAAATATTTATAGGTGAAATAACAAACATCTGGAATTTTTTAAAAAAGATGCTCGAGGGGAGGAGGAAATAAGAACGACAAAATGAAGATGGTCGTTGACGCTGGCTGATGCGCGTGCGCGTTTATTGTGCTTTCCCTGTACTTCGATGTGTGCTTGAAAATTTCCATAACGAAAAATAGAATTAAATAAAGAGGGCCCGTGGATATTCCATGTTGCTGGCCATGGCCCTCCCCCTTCTCTTTCTCTTTCCCCTGACCCCTCCTCCATGCCCCACATTCGGGCCCAGAGAACATCTGTTTTCGTCAGACACAGCTGTCCTGACTCCACTTCCTGTTCTCCCCAAACACCCGGAGAAAGGAGAGGCAGACCTTGACTGGATGCTGGCCCCTGCCTGATTTGCGTTTGGCCTGTTGCCTGGCCCCGAGGCCCACTCTGATTTCTTCTGGTTCTGAGCACTTGTCCCAGATGTTTTGTAACCCGGGACCACTTTCCATTGGACACATTACCGTTCTTCCCAGTCATCTATCCAATAAAAATTTACTGTTCCTCTCCTGGAGTGTGTGTGTATGTGTGTATCCCTGTGTTAGAGGCTACACAGGGGAATCAGGTGCAAGCCCTACTCTCAACAGGGAGTTCAAATCCCAGTCGGGGCAGTATTGAATACATGGCATGGCATGTAACTGATGATTACATGCAACCATGGGGCACGAGGAAGGAGGACTCAAATCTGGGGGGTCTTTGGGGCAGCGAGGTGATGTTAGATCTGGGTCTTGAGCCATGAGGAAGTCAGAAAGAGCAGAATGCATCACACACTGCCTTGCAGAGAAGGGATTAAGACCCTAAGGAAAGGTACAGTGTCGTGGTTGTGAACACTACTGTTTATACATACCTACTTATCTCACTTTGCATGATAGAGGTAAAGTGTGTGCCTGGCACAGTGTCCACACAAAACAGAGGGAGTATTTTCCCTCCTTCCCTCCCTACATCTCCTCCTGAATGACTTTGTAAATGCCCCCCAGAGCAGAGACCCTATTCAATGCATCCCTGTAACTTGTAGTATCTGACGTAGTGCTGGGCACAAAGCAAGCACTTCACAAAGACTGACTACTTAGGTGAAGGAGTTGACCTCTTGCCGGTACCAAGAATCACAGGTGCTTGGTAAAAACACATTCCAGGGCCCAAACCTAGATCTTCAGAACACAAGTCTCTAAAGAAGGGGGCAAGTAGTTTGTATTTTTTGCTTAGTTCCCCAAGAGGCTCTAAGTTGCTGCTGGGTTAGAGAACGAAGTGGGATCGAGGGGAGTTCAGCACCACGGACAGAAACCAACTACTGCTTGGACTCTCCCTTCCTAGCGCTAGCTGGGGCAAGGGAGTTCTATGTGTGTGTGTGGTGGGGGTTCATGGTCTCGCTTCAATGGCGGCAAGGTGGCACCTGTAGCTTTGGCCCTCATGTGATACAGCCCTTGTCTGAGCTTCAGGAGAGAGTCTCAGGGTGGCACTGTTCCTGCTGTGGGAGACAGCTCTAACTCTGCACAGGGAGGGGCCATATAATAAATACCCCTCCACTTCTTTTTTAAGTTGTAAGTGACCCCCATACGGTGCGAGCAGCAAGGCATGAAGCCTGAGCCGGCGTGAACAAATTAATCCCCCAAATATGGTGTGAGCACCTACTGTGTTCAAGGACTATGCCGGTAGCCAAGGGGCACATAGGGATGAGAGAGATACAGCTGCCGCCCCAAGGAACGTACAGCTTGTCAAACATGGTTCATTGATTGTTCGAAAGGAGAGCAGCCCTGAAGGTAATGAGACTGGA